GACCCTGTTAGCATAGTGTACAAATCCTGTGTAGTGGGAAGAGGATACTGCTCGTCTTGCACCGACTGGTTTATTGTTACCTTATAGTCTCCACACAAGCTTATAGACTTATCGGCCTTTGGTACAACTACTACTGGACTTGCCCACTTTGTCCTCTCAGTTTTTTTTATCACACCATTTCTCTCAAGTTTTTCTAACTCCGCTTCTACAGCCTCTTTCAGTGCATAAGGAACTTTACGTGGCTTAACAAACACTGGCCTTGCCCCGTCTTTCATAGTGATATGTGCTTAGTGATATGTGATCATTCCTTCATAGCTGTCTTCAAACATGTTTTTGTACTTTGACAGTAACACATTAAGTTGGTCTCTAGCATTACTTTGCTCTGACATTTTTATGCTAAAAACCCTGCCCCAATCTAACTTCATCTAGGCAAGCCAATTTTTACCTAGTAGAGTGGGTTTCCCTACATAGTTAGCTATCACAATTGGCAACCTAAAAGTCTTATTTTGGTACACAATCTCACATTTCATCTCACCACTTACCTGAAGTATCTCGCCGGTGTAGGTCTTCAATTTTACAGCTGACGGATAAAGTGGAAAATGACTAAACTTCTAATCATACATGCTTTTACTCATTATCGAGAAATCAGCAGCGGTGTCAATCTCCATGTCGCACATCACCCCATTAAGAGATAGTTCTACACTATATCTCTTATGAGAATAGTTCTCTGACTCTACTGAATATAAAGAATAAATACCTAATTCATCACTATTGACATTATCGTTATTACTATCGTACAATGATAAATTTTGAATGTTACCTCTATCTGCTTGTCCGTGTTTGGATGTTGAACCAGGTTTAACCTCTTTACTGGTTTTACTACGACACATTGAGGCTATATGACCTATTTTTGTACATTTAAAGAATTTTTCTGTTTTAAATCTACAAGTTTTTGCAGTATGATTTCCGCCACACCTGTAGCACGCTTGCTCGTCATTTCTCTTGCTTTCTATTTGGTTCACCGTCCCTTCACTGGAAGCACTGGCACTAGTAGTTGGATGAAACTCTTGCGTGTTCCTTTCAGCCATCTCCATAGACTTCGCAATCTGACAGGCTTTGTCGAATGTGATATTTTCGGTGGTCAACAGTTTGTTCTGTATCTTGACGTTGTTTAGCCCACATACAAAGCGATCTCGTAATGCTCGATTTAAAAACTCCCCAAAATTACAATGAATGGAAAGTTTTTTTAATGCCACTACATATTCACCAATTGACTCACCGGGTTTTTGACTACGTGTCCCAAAATGAAAACTTTCAGCGATCTCCAACGGTGCTGGGTTAAAATGCTTCTCTAGTGCTCGAACTATGTTAGCCAAAGACGTGTCTTTTGGCTTCGCTGGCACCAACAAATTACTTTATGTGGAATATACATCCGCTCCAATCTCAGTTAGAAAAATTGCACGTTTCCTGTCCTTAACAAGTTGATTAGCCCCTTCATTTTCTTCACCTGGTGTCTCTACAATGTTGTTTGCCGTAAAAAACATTTCCATTCTTTCCACATAGGATTTAAATGTCTCTCGTTCGGAATTGAACTCGCCAACATGGCCGAACAGTCCTCCGGCTGTTGCCATTTCGATGTTCAGTTATCAGATTTAATAAATTTCTTACTTCCAAACTTTTCCCACTACTGCGAGGGTATCTCACGCAACTTTGAGCATGTAGAATATATCCGATCCTCGTCGCCAAATGTAGTATACTGAGACTTGTTTTAGTATAAGAATACAAGTAAAACAAACAACGTGGTCGAGTTACAACACAATTCTTTCATTCCCGTACAGCATTATGGGATATGCATAAATTATGCTAATATGAACCTTAATATATTACAGTATGTATGCCGAGCCTATTTACGGTCAGCCAGTCAGATGCATTTTTTAGGTCATTATTTAGTATGTTTGTAACAGTATTTATGTCCTTGCTAGATGTACCAATTTAGGTATCATCAGCAAACATGTCACACTTAACACTATGTTAGCAATTCGAGAGGTCATTTTTATATAAGGTGTCTCAAAAAAAACGCTATGGAAATTCAGCAGGCTGCCGTGCATCATAAATGTGGGTAAACAATTCAATTTTTACATGGGACGCAAGTACAGTTATTTCGCTTTTCAGTGATACTCTTTTTAAACCGAAACGATGAGAAATGGCCAGATATTCATCAAATAATAATTGCCGGTCGAATCACATTCTTCCACCGTTGTGTATTGCATGGAAATTGAAACACAGACAATTCCCAACAGGGAATTAAAGTTGAATGTTAAATTAGCTAAAATGAGCTTAACTCCTCAATCTTAGTTTTAGCAAGACAATATTAACGTCATTATTGCATTTAAACATGGTTCAATTAACCACTAAACAGAGAACATTCGTAATCAAAACGTTTTACGAAACAAATACCTTCGGCGGCAGGCTCGCGTTGCTTTTGGATTGATTAACTTTGCATAATTAATGTCTTTTCAATTCCCAACGGTGGAAGAATGTGATTTCGACCGACAATTTCATTTGACGAGTATGTGGCCATATCGCATCGTTACGGTTTAAGAAAGGTATTATTGAAAAGCTAAATAACAGCTCTTTCGTTCTATGTAAAAATTGAATTGTTTAACTAAGCGTATGACGCGCAAAAACCTGTTGAATTTCCATAGCATTTTTCTTGAGACACCCTGTACAGTAGGAATAACAGGGGGTAATAATTGACTCTTGTGGTATTCCATTAATCATGCTTGACTCTTTACAAAAAGAGGTGAATAAACACATATCCTCGAGGTGCCTCAAAATAACGTACTTATTTTTCACATTGCGAGGTCGCGTTAATGAGTCAGAATAGAAATAATTCTTAATGCCATATTGTGCTGCGAAGATATTACAGGTGAATATTACAAGGAATTATTAGAGGGAAATTGATTAGAGGGGAATATTGAATATATTCCCCAATAAGAACAAAGGAAACCGAGCAATGTGAAAAATAATATGATATAGCCTGTCAGTGATATCTAGTAGAGCAGCTACGGTGGAATGACCAGGTCTGAAACCATGTTGGGAGGTAGATAATAGGTTCTCCGTTCTCATCATGTAAATATAAATATAGTTGGTTATGAGCAACCATTTCCATTACTTTAGCAATAGTTGAGATCACAGATATTGGTCTATAATTATTCATGTTATGTTTGGGTCCAGTTTTGGAAATTGGCGTGACTTTGGAGATTTTCCAGTCGTGTGGAAATCTACCCTCTGATAACGATTTGTCAAATATGATAGTTAAATGGTTTGCTATAATTGGTGCTGCTATATTTGAAAGTTTAGAAGATATTTTATCTGGACCTGTTGCGTTATTTATGGCAATATTCGATAAAAGATTTATTGTTGGGATACGTCTTGGAAATGGAAACGAGTATTCGAAACGTTAATGTAGGCCTCATGTTGTTTGGCGGTTATAGGAATCTTCCGAGACAGTCGTTGGCCAACTTCTATGAAATGTTTGTTAAAGGCATTTGGGATTTTCTTGTTCCGTACTTATTCGCTATTTTCATTTTTAATGTGACCTACATGGAAGTTTTCGATTGTTTGTTTGTCAGTACTTTTCCACGTGTTTTTTTATATTGCCTTTCTTATTACTAATTTCATCTGTATAATAAATTTTGATTGTATTTTTTATCAGTCAATTGTACTGATTATTTGCAATTCTATAAGACTCCCAGTCATTTTCTCTTCAAGTTGTTCTTTCGCCATTTATTAGTCAAGAGATTTTTTTATCGTCGGTGCTCTTGTATTGCCTATATATATAGTTTGCGTTTTTTTAATGGTGCATGTTTGCCAATAATTTTCGTGAAATTACTTTTTCATATAAGCCATGCTTTCTATGGAAGAATGGGCGCTTATACAGCTTGAATGTATAAAAAAATTGTGCAGTCGAAAAGTTTCGTTCGCTAAATTGCAAATTCCGCAAAACTTTGTAAAAACTTTACGCCTGCATGGGTATTTTGTGGTCTGCTAATATCTTTACGACAAAAATTATTCCGAAAAGTTAATTTTCGGGTGCGGGAGGGTTGTTTTTCAAAGACACTATAAAAATGCCTTGTGCCCAACAACGAAATGCTCAAAATAACGCAAGTTAAAATCATCAGCTGCAAATTTGGAAGGTGTTTTATATGAACTGGCAAAGTGTCAGGCAATTCATGAGATGAAAATTTACTCATAAACCCAATGAGTTAATTGCGACTTTGTGTTCATATACGAGCACATATTCGATAATAAAGCTATTATCGGAGAACGACATATCCCCACCATTGACGATGTAGTACATAATCTTAATGGCTGTAAGCTTTTTAGCAAAATAGATTTAAATCAAGTAGGGTAAAATCAGGTAGTCAGATTAGTCACGCGACTAACGTTAAAAAAAGGCATATAAAAAAATTTTGACTATGGTTTTTGAATTTTTTCCCAGCGCAAACGCTTCTCTTCATTTCTGATCACGCATTCAAAACTCTATCACACTCCAGCATATAAACTTCGATCAGTTTGTGCACATTGAGCCAGCGATTTATTAGTCAAACGATAAGTCAAATAAGCGGTATACAAATGAAAATTGACTAATCTGCATTTTAGTTCATGTGATTTGATTGGTCAAATATGCTCAGATTACACATTACACATTACAGGCATGTTGATTGGTCAGATCTATTTTGACTAACGATTGCGAAATTTTGACTATTTTGACTAATCCTGCAAAAAGATAGCAGCTTCTGATTGGACAATTTGCGCAAAAGAGTTAAAGAACATCTCCTCTGCTTGGCCTTCTAATCTTCAATTTGGAAGCATTGTGCACTTGGTAGTTTTGTTGCAGCTCTGTACAATTCTACCTCATCATAGTCTACGTCACATAGGAATCACGTGAGATTGCGCGAGCAAGCTATATCATGTGCCGTAAGCTTTCGATCATGGCGGACGACAAGGTGAACGAAGCACAAGGAAAATCCAATTTTTCGGACAAAGACGAGGAAAGGTTGCTCGCTGAAGAGGGCGAACAAACACAAGATTATGTCACCACCGGTGACACAAATAATGATTCCACTAGGATGTGGGAGGCCATCAAGGGCCTTGGAAAGAAACTCGATCTTTTGGCGGGAACGCCAAATACACGCATCACCGATGCTCCACTAAAGCGGAAAATACCGCACACAGTGACTAAAGAGTCAAAAAATGACGCAGAAACCCCACCGGGGCTATCTCGTCAAAAGAAGCGAAAATCTTCATCAGTTTGCGACGATGCATCTGACGATTCTGATCGAGACGTCACAGCCTTGCTCGACAAGGAGGACGAACAAGATGGCGACGAGAGCGATAAACTCTTGCAAGAGCTTGAAGAAGAATACAACAGCGAGGACAAAACAGGTCCGGTATCCCAGGATTTTCGCCCCCCCTACATTTTCGCCCCCCGGGGGGCGAAATTTCTAGGGATATCGCCCCCCAGGGGATATCGCCCCCCCTAGCAAACCTAGTCAACAAAAGGTTTGTTGGGAAGCTCAAAGAAGCAAAGCTCAAAGAGTAATGCGAGCTGTATATCCGACCCGGAAATTGTGATAAACTCAAAGTTCCTCTCGTGAACCCCGAACTGTGGGGGAAACTTGGACCACCGGTCAAAACACAGGACTTGAGAATCGCAAATGTCCAGCAGACCATAGTGAAAGCAACTGTTGCACTCACCGAGGCAACAGAAAGAATTACAAAAGTCAAGGGGAACATCGACGGGAAACAGCAAATTATAACCTCTTTGACTGACTCACTTGCTCTGCTGGGACACGCAACTTATGACCTATCGTTGCGACGGCGAGACATCATGAGGCCGTCAATAAATCGAGAGCTTCGTGCTCTTTGCAGTCCACAAATCCCTGTTACAGAGTTCCTGTTTGGGGATGATGTACAAAATAGTTTAAAAACTATTATAGAGTGCAACAAGATTGCCAGTTCAACTGTAAAGCAAGGGTCGGATTACAAACACAAACCGACCTACTCTAGAGGTGGAAATTACAAGCCTCAAGCCAGTCAAGGTTATGGGCATGGAAGCAAGCCTTTTTTAGGCCAGCGCAAAGGCTACCAGCCATTCAAAAAGAAAGTGTGGACACCACACCACAAAAGGGAGGACATGAAGTGATCCTCACCGAAACACTACAAACAGTAATTGATAATGTAAGTAAATTTGATAGTCTTTTACCACATATTATAACAGGTCTAGAGCAAAATGTTAGAACGTTGAAAGCAGGTAATCTTTCTAGTTTCCTTAACAGATGGAAATCTCTTACATCTGATAAAGAAATTATTCACATGGTAACAGGTACAACTATTGATTTTGAGCATGTACCAGTCCAATCTAGGCTACCGGCCATACAAACATTCTCAGACCCTGAGGTACAAATCATTGAGACTGAGCTCAGTAAACTCCTAAGCAAAGGGGTAATTAAAAAAGTTGAACGTGAAAAAGGTGATTTTCTTTCGCCCATATTCCTCAAGGCAAAGAAAGATGGCTTTTGAATCTCAAAGCTTTGAATAAAAATATCACTTATCAGCATTTTAAAATGGACACACTTTTGTCAGTAGTCAAACTTATGAGACCAAATTGCTTTATGGCCACCATCGACCTCAAAGATGCATATTATTCAGTACCTGTGTCTGAAAAACATCAGAAATTTCTCAAATTCCACTGGAAAGGAACCTACTATAAGTTTTCCTGCTTTCCTAATGGGCTATGTTTCTGTCCTAGGAAATTTACAAAGCTTATTAAGCCAATTCACTCTTCGCTTAGATTGCAAGGTCATCTCCTTGCTGGTTATATTGATGACAATTACAACCAAGGGGACACTTACCAGGAATGCTTGACTACTGTGCTTGAAACAGTAAAACTGGTAACCGAGTTAGGGTTTTGTGTGCACCCTGAGAAATCATGCCTTATACCATCTCAAGAAATAATTTTTCTTGGGAATGTTTTAAACTCTGTCACCATGACTATTACACTAACCGATGAGAAAAAACAGAAAATTGTGAAGGCATGTAAGGCACTGCAGAGACAGCAAAATCACACTATCCGGGAGGTTTCTAAGGTGATAGGGCTCATGGTGTCTAGTTTTTCAGCAGTTATTTATGGACCATTATACTATAGACAACTAGAGCGGGATAAATCTCTAGCTGTTAAAGACCATAAGGGAAACTATGATGCACCAATGGCTCTATCACCTGTGGCCAGAATAGAATTACAATGGTGGGTAGACAATATTGACAAAGCATTCAATGTCATCAACCATGAACCCCCATCAATTACAATCAATACAGATGAATCAAAAATTGGATGGGGTGGTGTATTGGATGGTACAACTTGTGGGGGACATTGGTCACCCCAAGAATCAGAAGAGCATATTAATTGCCTTGAATTAAGGGCTGCTCTTTTTTCAATCCAATCACTAACACCTGACAGGAGCAATACCCACATTAGATTGAAGATTGACAACACGACAGCAGTGGCTGCTATTAACCATATGGGCACTAGCCACTCAATACAATGTAACAATGTAGCTTTAGATATTTGGCAGTGGTGCATCAGTAAACAAATCTGGGTCTCAGCGGAACATATTCCGGGCAAATATAACATAGTAGCTGATAAAGAGTCAAGGGAAATAAGCACCAACAATGAGTGGATGTTGAACCCCACACTCTTACATCAAGCACTTGACAAATTACAAGTTAACCCAGATATAGACATGTTTGCATCTAGATTCAGGGCCGTAGGAAGCTCTTTTCGATTGGGGGAGCTGAAAGCGAGGGCCGAAGGCCCGAGGAAATTTTTAAATTTAGAGTCTCTAAAATGCCATTTCCTGGACTTTGGGGGAAGATTTAACAGAATTCTGATAGTCAGAAAACAGCGTTTTAGTATGTCGAAATTTACAGGAAAGTATGGGCCAGACTGTAGTATTATAAATGCGCGGCGGGAATTTTCGTCGTAAATGGCAGTTGCGCGGAAATGAAGGCAGAACATTTGAGAAAATTTCGAAAATCTGGAGTCTCTAGATGGTCTGAAATGGCATTTTCAGAGTTTTCTTTCGCAAGACCAAACACGCAAAAGACAAAATAAATCATTAGTTCATCAAAAATGTGCAGATTTTGTGGGATTTTCTTGAAAATGCGCGACAGAAATTCAGCTAAAATTTCTACGCGAGGAACGATCTGGAGTATGAGTAATATCTTCATTCTTTGCAGTTTGTCACAGATTAAATGATAAAGTTTGCATGATTTTGAAAAAAGAATGATTATTAGCAAATTATTGGGGGGGGAGGGCTGCAGCCCCCCAGCCCCCCCCCCCCCGGTTGCTACTGCCCTGAGATTAAATGCTCAATTTCCCAGATATATCGCATATAGACCAGACCCAGGAGCACAATCTATTGATGCATTTTCTGCTCAGTGGAACACTTTCCAAGGTTACTATTTTCCTCCTTTCAGTGTCATTTCAAAAGTTCTTCAGAAACTGGAGCAGGACAAGGCAACAGGAGTAATTGTAATCCCCAAATGGCCCACCCAGGTGTGGTATTCCATGGCAATGAGGATGCTGATCAGCTGTCCAGTTCTTCTACAGCACAGTGCCAGACTGTTATTGCTACCAAGCCACCCACAAGAAACACACCCCTTACACAAGAAACTGGATCTGCTAGTATGTCACTTGTCAGGGGACAGTTGCAAACAAGCGGACTTTCAACAACAGCTTCAGACATTTTCATGTGTGCCTGGCGGGATGGAACTAAAAAACAATACCAAACCTACCTTACACAGTGGGAAAACTACTACAACTCCAAAGGGATTAGTCCAGTTTCAGGTACTGTAATTGAAGGTATCAATTTTCTAGCAGAACTAGTTGATAGGGGTATTGGCTACAGTGCAGTTAATACAACCAGATCTGCCCTTTCAACCATACTTGTAGCTAATGATTCTCTTACGTTTGGTATGCACCCTTTGGTAAAGAGGTTTTTAAAGGGTGTTTTTGAACAGAAACCTTCGTTGCCACGTTATGCATTTATTTGGGATGTCAATCAAGTGTTAAATAGACTGCGTTCTTACCCTTCTATTGAATGTATTTCACTAAAGAAACTTACATTAAAACTTGTTATGTTGCTGGCTCTTCTCACTGGTCAACGAACGCAAACGATTCATTGCTTGGATGTTAACCATATGGACATATCAGATAGGAAATGTACTTTTTATCTGACCCGGTTACTGAAACAGTCGAGACCCGGGAAACATCTAAAACCTATTGAACTGGAAGCGTTTGGCCAGGTGCAAAGTTTGTGTATTATCCGTCACTTAAGAGCATATATTGAAAAAACTGCGAATCACAGAACTGACGTTAATACGAGCCAGTTATTGTTGAGTTATCGAAAACCATTTAAGCCTGTTAGTAAGGACACCATCTCACGCTGGATCAAGATTGTATTAAAGGATGCAGGTATTGATACAACAAAATTTACTGCACACAGTACTAGAGCAGCCTCCACTAGCGCTGCAGCCAAGGCAGGTGCCTCCATAGAAAGCATCTTGGAATCTGCTGGATGGTCCAACTGTGGAATTTTGCTAAGTTTTATAACAAAGAAATTAATGTGTCTTGTAATCTTGGTTCAGTTTTGTTAAAGGCAAATATAGAGTGTGACAATTACTGGTGTTGTGTCCTTGTTCATGATCACAGGGCTTTAAAGTCTCACGTGATTCCTATGTGACGTAGACTATGATGAGGTAGAATTTAAAAATTAAACGAGACTTACCTGTAAGTTGAAGTTTGATGTAGATTCTACCGATTCATAGTCAGGAACATAGGAATTACGTGCCCTCCCAACATTGGTTATACAAATAACTCACGGCATTAAAAATGCTAAGATGATCCCTCCCTATTTACGTGGGATCCTGATGCAATTTTTAGATCTGATGCAACTGGCAATTGCTTGTATAGCTCTGTTTCCTAAGCAATTGACAGGTACCAAATTATGACCTAAATTTACCTTCATAGTTTAAATGTTTACAGTGGTAACAGTGCAAGTGTGAAAGGTCTATTTTGGCACTTATAGGACATTAAAGGCTATAAGCGAAGCACTATGGTTGAAGACTACTTAAAGTGCCACTGCGATGGAAAATTGTGCTGTCTTTTTATTGTATATTCAGAAAGTATGTCTGTAGATAAACAAAATTACCAAATATCAGCGTCCAATTCCATTTCCTTCTGCCTTTTTTTTCAACGCAAACATGCAAATTTTTCGGCCGCCATTACTGAGTTGCCAATTAGCGAGATGTTGATTTCTTAGCCGGATGTGACGTCATTTACTCAACACGCTTCTTTCCCGAAGGAGAAATTAATATTATCAAAGGCTTATACTAGGCTGTTTTTTGTTCAAAATTATGTCTTCTGACGAAAGCCACAGCTCAAATTTTGCAACACAATCATCTTGCGAACTCTCTTTTGCCGAAGACGTTTCTTGTGATAGCGGGGGTGATGTAAATATGTGTGGATTTGTGCGAGGCCTATGATACTTCAGTCGAAGCTCTTGCCACTGAAACGAAAAGTACTATAACTGAGAGAGAGCAAGAGCAGCAAACACTGTCTGCTGAATTGTCTGGGGAAACCTTAACGGGCACCTGGTACGTTTTGGATTGTATTTATTTACGTTTTGGTTTATATATTTGTGACATAAAACAAACATGTGATGGCCATGTTTAACAAAACAAATGGTCACTGGTCTCCTTATAAAAAATCATTGTCACCTCCGTTATATTGCACGAAACGTCTTCAATGAGAGATGGCTTAAAGATGACTGTGTTGCCAAACTGGAAATCCTAACTCACGTAAGAACACATATTAATTTGCACAAAGTTGTGGGAAATATATTTCAATTATATATATTAATAAATATATTATATACTTCAATAGTATACTTCAATAGTAACTGTGTCCTGGCTCATTGTTGTTTATGTGAACCTTGTAAGAAAAAATGCTGGAAGAAAACATGCATGACCAGCATTTGATATTGGTTGTATTTGAATACCTTCTGGAAATATCAAGACTTTTAGTATACCCCCATTCCATTGGAAATCTTGATACAATGGTCAACACCACCCCCTATCCTCTTGAATTTCCGATCTCTTCTGTAGCAGGGTGGGGTGTGTGTGGGGGGGGGGGTATGGCTATTTCCTGGAACTATGCAATTTGACTGAGTCATGTAGGAGTAATTTTTGGCATTAAGCATTCCCTCAAAAGGCAACCCCCAGACATATTTGCATGTTTTTCTTTAATAAAAAGAATGACTACCAGGTAGGTTGGTGAAAAAAAGAGCACTCCCTACTCTGGCAATGAGTGGTAAGAAATTCTCATCAGCCAGGGGCAGCCAAACTGATACAATGTCATGATCTGAGTATCATATTCTGAATTTAGTAATGTTTGAATCCCTGTAAAGGTGAGCAAGGTACTGAAATATCCTGTCATGTGAACAAGAAAACTTGAAAAGCCTATAGCTAAGTTATATGTAAGCCAAACAAGGATCTTGTATTATGAATCCTGGTGTTTTTGTGCAGAACACAGCTCACAAATAACATGATAGTTTTTGGATTACTAAATTTTAAAGCTGTCATTATGCTAATATATAAATTTTCTTTTTGAAAGTATGTTTCTTAGGGCAGTTGCATATCAAGTAGTGAAGCTTGTGTGGAGCTGTATACCAACAGTTCAAGAAGGTACCCCCTTCCTTGCTGTGCATATGCCAAGATACGGTTTCTGTCTTGTTTATGTGAACAATGAACATTTTGCCGAGATATTTTTTAAAACACCGACATCATGCTTGAAAGTATGATAGTAGTAAAAAACTGTTTAGAATTTCCATAGGGGTGGGGGAAACAAGCTGTCAGTGACAATTAGAAAAATCTAGAGGGGTGGGGGTTCATAATTAACTAAATCTCTTCCATTAGCAGGGGGTATTGCCTAGAACTACACATTGAAATACTTAGTCTGGTTCACTCTTTTTCCCTTCGGTATACAGAGTGGTATAATTTGGCAGCCTTTTAATCAGGTTTTGTAACTTAAACCAGGAAGTTTTAACACCCAATGTTTCAAACAACCAATATCAAATGCTGGATGCTCAGTTTAATAAGCAGCAGTCATGCATGTTTTCTTCCAGCATTTTTTTCTTACAAGGTTCACATAAACAACAATGAGCCAGGACACAGTTACCACATTTATACCTATGGATCATTAATATATTAAAGTATACTATTGAAGTATATAATATATTTATTAATATATATAATTGAAATATATTTCCCACAACTTTGTGCAAATTAATATGTTTTCTTACGTGAGTTAGGATTTCCAATTTGGCAACACAGACATCTTTAAGCCATCTCTCATTGAAGACGTTTCGTGCAATATAACGGAGGTGACAATGATTTTTTATAAGGAGACCAGTGACCATTTGTTTTGTTAAACATGGCCATCGCATGTTTGTTTTATGTCACAAATATATAAACCAAAACGTAAATAAATACAATCCAAAACGTACCAGGTGCCCGTTAAGGTTTCCCCAGACAATTCAGTAGACAGTGTTTGCTGCTCTTGCTCTCTCTCAGTTATAGTACTTTTCGTTTCAGTGGCAAGAGCTTCGACTGAAGTATCATAGGCCTCGCACAAATCCACACTTTTCTCCATATTTACATCACCCCCGCTATCACAAGAAACGTCTTCGGCAAAAGAGAGTTCGCAAGATGATTGTGTTGCAAAATTTGAGCTGTGGCTTTCGTCAGAAGACATAATTTTTGAACAAAAAGCAGCCTAGTATAAGCCTTTGATAATATTAATTTCTCCTTCGGGAAAGAAGCGTGTTGAGTAAATGACGTCACATCCGGCTAAGAATCAACATCTCGCTAATTGGCAACTCAGTAATGGCGGCCGAAAAATTTGCATGTTTGCGTTGAAAAAAAAGGCAGAAGGAAATGGAATTGGACGCTGATATTTGGTAATTTTGTTCATCTACTGACATACTTTCTGAATATACAATAAAAAGACAGCACAATTTTCCATCGCAGTGGCGCCCAGCAAAGGAAACTGCCATTGAAAATATCGTGTTGCCTCAGGCAACTCCCCATTTCACAGGCATGGTTTCAGCTGTTGCCTGTTGATTTACCTCCCAATACGGTCACCAGTGCTCTCACTTTTAAGGAATTATCCTTAAAAATAGGAATTTTGAAGAGTTTTAAGGATTTTTTTAAGGAATTTAGGTTTTTGAGGATTTTTTTAAGGAATTTCCGAAACATTTTATCTTGGACTAAAAATGTTGGACGGAGGATAACACACCACACAAATGAGATTTAAACTTGAAAGTAACAACATTGTACGCACATAATTACATATATTCGTATGTTCTCTATGTCATAAATGACATATGGCTGTCTTTTCATTAAAATTCTCAAAAGTTAAATGTCAGTATAATCTACAATTTTCTAAACTCTTCATGCAGCAACGATAAAAAATACATCATGTTGAATGCTTTCTTTATCGCATTTAATATGCTAACAATCAAATGTTTTCAGATTTTAGTGCTTAGAAACAAGGTTGAAAAACTGAAAAACAGGAAAAAAGAGAAAAAAACACTTTTTGCAACTACGTGATCAGGCCTTTTAGTAATTTTACCAATTTAAGGAATTTTAAGGAAATCTGAGGAATTTTCGAGCTTTTTCTAAGGAATTCGAAAATTTGATTGTGAGAGCACT